ATCCACCAGTATCCACATACCAACAGGCAGATGCCTCGGGAGCCTAGAAATGGAGCTCTTCATTTACTTCAAGAGTTCATCAAAAAACCCGCCGAAAACATCCACAAGTTCCGATGTGGATCTTGGGCCAACAGGAACAAAGAACAGGGCACGCAGATCATGGATCACCAAATACGAGGTCAACAGCAAGGGACGAAAGAAAAGCCAGCACACCACATAATTCACATAATTCACGCTAATATTAGAACTCGTAACCGAACCAATCATATTGGTCCTGATTTCTCAAGTTAAACTAGCCACATTCAAGGTCTGCAACGCGCCATGGACGTTTTGAGTAACTCTTTTACTGCCTGTTGTAGGGCGTTCAGTCTCCATATGGATACGTATTTGGAACAATATAATTAATAAATAAAATCTACACATAGATGTTCTCTACTATTAGTAGCAAGGTCAACTTCTGTCTCTTTTAAACTATTTATCTATGATTTATCTTAGGAAATGAAAGATTTCATGAAATTATGACATTTTTATGACACTTTCCTAATAGAACTATTTGTGCAAGGCTGTAGTATTAGTAAAATAATAACTATACAGTTACATTACTGGGTGCTGGGTTGTAAGAACAATTGGTTGTTTCTGATCCCCTGTCACAGTAGATCTAGTGGTAACCCCATGAGCAAACTGTTCCCTCAATGGCCGTGTAGACTAGATCGAAGTATGGCTTCATTCACAAAACATCCAACCGTTGGAGACCTACACACAAACTGAGCATAAAGATGAGAAGGAAACAGTAGCTGTGGAAGTAAGACTATGATACCTGCCTTGAACCATACATATAGACAAAGACACTCCATATCTAGTTTGAACTACCAGATAAGTAAGTACGCGGATTACAAATGGTTAAACGCTGTGCTCTATATCAACTGCAGATCTGGTACTGTATTGCGCCTAAACTCCTTACTAAATACACAAAGCCAGTTACTTGGCAGCCGCAAAAATCACAGAGCTTTGCATGACCGGCGCATACTTCTTGACCGCCACAGCACGCAGCCCTGCTTTGTCTAGAATGGCATCCCACTGCGATGCCGTCCGTTCCGTCGTACTGAACAAAGAATACATTTGGAGATCAAGCCCGGCAGGCCACACATGAGCGTTCTCGTCCGGCACCACCACTTCATCAATCGCCACTAGGGAATCAGCCGACATGGCAGGCACAATGTTGGCGAGTATCTGCACCGTGGTGGTATCGTCCCAGTTGTGAAGAACGGCTCGAAGATAGTAATACTTTGCTCCCTTTACGGGCTGGATTTTGAAAAAGTCGTGCTCCATCCACTGAATGCCTTTGATATCGGGGGCGCTTTTGATCACTTCACCGCGATCCTGGACGATCACTCGGTCCGCTAGCTCCGGGTACTTGGACAGCACTTCCGCAGCCTGATGACCAGTATTGCCGCCAATATCCACAAACATGGCACCGTCATGCCCACTGCTCACAGACTGGTCAAAGGGGATCATATCCACACCGTTGGCGTCTCTGGTAAGTCGCATGGCAGCCTGAAAGTTCTTCAAAACATCCGGATGCTGCTTAAGCCAGGGATAAGGCTCCAGCTCCGTGCCGAGACCCTTTTGAAACGCACTACCGTGGGTTTCATTCCGATATCCCGTCTCCCTGAGGAATTCAGGCAGAGCGTGAAACGCAGGGTTGCTGACGGCGTGGAAAAATCGTATGGGATGCTCAATGCGCGGGTCGGCAAAGACGTGCGTTTTCTTGCTGGCCACGTACTGGTCAGGCCCTGTCTCTCCAACCAGACGACTGGCGACCATGTATCGCATGATGCGACTGACGAGTAGCGGGTCGGCCATAGTAGCCTTCGCCAGCTCTTTGGCTGACAATGGCTTTTTGCTCTCCACAAGGGACTTGAAGATTCCAAGGTCCCCCCCTATGCAAACCATCGCCGTTTGTCGACCCTAATTTCAGAGCTTCATTAGTATACATAACCTGGTGAATCCAGATGCAGCTGCATCTGCTATTTTTCCTTTTACTTACTGCATCAACATATCGCACCACTGTGTCGAATGGAGTCTCAAGGTCCTCGGCTGATTGGTGCAGCGAAGAGATCAAACGGTGCCTAGTGGCTTCATCAAATGGCGTCTGCGAAGAGCTTTTCTCGGCTGCCATGAGGTCTGCCATGCAGCTTTTGACGGAGCGCTCCTCGACATTGCTATGTCCATTTGCCTCACTATGGCCGTTGGTCGAATGGTTTCCATTGGTGTGGGCGTGGCCATTGGTATGGCAATTGGTCTCGATATGACCATTGTTCTGGGGTTGGCCATTGGTGTGGACGTGGCCATTCGTCTGGATATCACCATTGGTCTGTGAATGACCATTAGTTGTGTGGTTTCCATTGGTCTCAGCATGGTCGTTGCAAAGTGTCTTCTTGGCTGCTCTTGCTTCACCATTGAGGAAGGAAAGTGCATCATGAGTTGTGTATTTAATCTCTGCTTTCTTCGCTGCGGACAGTCCGAGGTTTCCCTTCTCCAAACGAGGGGCGAGACCGTCGATGGCGTCTACAGTGAAATTGTCAATGTTGAGCGAATCCTCGGGGCGGACCATGCGCCGTCCCTTCAACGTTTTTAAGATTGCCTGCTCCTCTGGTGTCAGATGCTTCTCAAGTTCATCGAGAGCCTTGCGATTGTTCTCATCGTTAGCATCTCCATCATGGCCGAGTGACTTAAGCTTCTTCACGAGAGCCTCTTTCTCCTCAAATGAGACATGCGCAAATGCTCTGAAGCAAAATTCGACCGTCTTGGACATCTCTGCTTGGGTCAGCTTGCCCTTGGCGTCGGCATCAGCCTGCCCCTGGATAACTAGATGTTACACCGTTAGAATCATCGCTTTCAGCGTTGGATCATTATATAAAATTGCACGTACTGGGTCTGAAGAGATCAAAGGCTCTTTCAAAGCTATCCTCGTCAAAATCACTGATTACGGGCTCGTCTTGAGACCGGATCTGCTTCAATGCACTAGACACAACCAAGAGGAAGCGTGTGTAGCTTTCGGATGTCTTCTTGTCGTGCCACGACGCTGCAACGGTCTCATCGCAGTCACCACGAATGGCTGCTGCGATAGTGGTTGCTGCTGACAAACCTCCCGAGAGAGCCAAGTGAACACCAGAAGAGAAGAAGGGGTCAATGAAGGATCCAGCATCTCCAGCAATGCGCACACCAGGGAAGGCATAGCTGGAAGCGCTGTATGACCAGTCAGAAGCCGACTTGACCTCCGATACGAGCTCCGCGTTGGAAAGCAGTTCTTTGATGCCGGGGACAAACTCTAGAGACTCCAGGTAGAAACCCTTGGAGGAAGGTTCGGCCATTTTTCGCTTCTTCTCAGTAGCCATCTCTTGGTTTTGCACAACACCTACTGAATGGGTGCCGTTGTGCAGAGGGATAAACCATACCCATCCACTAGCATCTGTTGAGTCATACGTTAGCATTATATCCCCTCAGGGTGCGACATGGAAGTTATAGCTGTGTCGTACCTTTGAGTGCTTCGAAATATGGAGCACCCTCTTTGTGTGTACCGACACCGTGGACACCACCTCCCCTCCAGTATCCCCAACTGGCAACATTCTTCAGCCCCTTGTTGAAGGACCGATTCTTGAGATACTTAGTGCTAATAAGACCATTTCTACCCGAGGCATCCACAATGTAATCCATGGAAAGAGTGCCAGAGGTCCCGTCCTTGCGAGTCCAAGTAGCAGATATGGGACGGCCAAGGGGATGCCCATCTCCGGACGAGGGAGCAAACTCGATTGATGCCACCTTGGTTTCGTCAAATGTCTTCACGCCACATTCAGCTGCATGCTTGAACAGCAGCTCGTCTGCCTCGGACCTGATGACATTCCAGGCGTAACCTCCAGGTCCACCGGCTGAGATGAAATCCGTGTCTAAAAAGACGGAGTTGATCGTTAGTATACTCTCAACCGTGGTAATTGAGCTCGTGTCTATTCAATGACCGGCGGAGACTTACATGTTTCAGGTCTGGACCAGTTGAGACGGAAGGCACCTCCGTTCTGCTCTGGATGTCAGTAACCAATGTTCTTGCAGCTTCGATAAAGGGTTGAGGACTTTCGCTACTCACCTTTACGTTAAAGCCATGTGCATCCCACTTCTCGTAGGCGTCAATAAACTTCAGAAAGTGTCGCATCGACGGCAGCATGCTTTCGCCGATATGGTATCTAGGGCACGTGTGAGAATACAGAAAAAATCAAGATTAAAGACATTCATCGCGCTCAAGTTCTGGGAACTTACCTAGGAAACTTCTCTGCCTCGAGAAGGACCACGTCGATTCCCTCCCGCGCAAGAGCCGAGGCGGCATATGAGCCAGCTGGCCCACCACCGATGACCAGCACCTTGCAGTTTTCCGGAACGTTCGTCATGTTGATAAAAACAAGTTTAGAGATTCTTTTGCTATTCTTGATGTGTTTTAATGTTGTAATGTTGCAATGTTTGTTTGGTGTGATGGATAAGTATCTATGTTAGATTTGTACAATATAGCTTGGACGAAGTGAAGATATATATAAAATCCAAATGTTGCCTTGCACGACGAGTAGTTTACAGATATTATGGATTCTGAAACTATATCGGCCATTGGCATCCGTTCGGACATCGGGATGCTCCCGGGGGCTTTTTTTTTTCGGGGGGATTGTTTTAGGGCAAAGGTAGGCTGCTGACTCTCGGAACCCGACTTTCAGCCACTAGGCGGGTAACTCCTTGGCTTTCTCAACACAGCCCAGCTTACACCCCTCCCCCCCGTAAGGCGACCAACCTTTGTCACCAGCGTATACAGCAATAATTTTTGTCAAGTAAATTTTTTGTCAATAATTGTGAATCTATCTTCTCTATCACTGACGTATGAATGCCCTCAACTACTATGCCTGACGGGTTTTACTCCTCGCCCTTCTGGGCTGGCTACCTAGAAGCACAACGAAGCAAGCTACCTGTACTTCCAGAAATTGACGATGGCTTGTCTGGCTGCGTTGTGCGCTTCCTTGGATGCAATCCTGGAAGCATGCAGCTACAGGGCACCAACACATACCTAGTTGGTACTGGAAGCACTAGAATACTCATTGACACTGGAGAGGTAAGGCCTTTACCCACCACCACTATTCATTTGTTCGTGTGTGTCTCGCTCCTACCTTAGCCCACCTAGGAATAAATCCAGATATACACTACCATTTTCTATTCACTCAGTGATTATTTTATATTATGTCATTTTCGTTTTCACGCCCAGCAACGTAATAACCATCGTTAATAGGGAGCTCCGCAATGGGCACTGAGTGTGACCAGATATCTCGAAGACCATGACATCTCTATTTCTCATGTCCTTATCACACATTGGCACAAGGACCATACTGGCGGGATAGCCGATCTCCTTGTTCATGATTCCGACATAAAAGTATACAAGCACAGGCCTGGCCAGGATCAGCTAGACATCGTAAACGGGCAAACCTTTCCAACGCAAGGTGCGACTCTCAGGGCAGTCCTGACGCCTGGGCACACTGTTGATCATATGTGCTTCGTATTGGAAGAGGAAAATGCACTATTCACCGGTGACAACGTGTTAGGCCATGGCTACAGTGTAGCTGAGGATCTGGAAGCCTACACAGCTAGCCTTCGTCTGATGGCAAGCCTAAGGTGTGCCGTCGGGTATCCCGGCCACGGAGAAGTGATATCTAACCTGCCCCAAACAATTGCAAAGTATATCGCGCAAAGAATCTCAAGAGAAAGACAGATATACACCGTGCTGGCTCGGCAAGCTTCTTCGTCTTCTACATCCCGTAATGCGAGCAGCGCAAGCATTGTCAGGGGCATCAACAGTGGCGATGCAAGAGGCGCTAGCGACTCTGGTAGTAGCCGCAATGATGAACATGGCAGTGGGATGGACACAGTGCAGGGCCTATCCACAGCTGACATAGGCGGTCTCATCTACGGAGAAGTCTCCAAGGATAGCGCAACGTTTGATTCAGCTGTTGGGCCCCTGTTGAATCAGGTTTTATACATGTTGCTAGAGCAAGGCAAGGTTGGTTCTAGATTAATTGGGCCGGATAATACTAGGCATTGGTTTGCAACGGGTCAACCAATTTAAGAAAGAATTTCATGTTTCTGCTACTTCTTGCGAGAATGAGTAATGTTGTTGCTTGGATACAAACATGATAGTTTTGTAATACCCATGCATCCATGTATATTCCTGCGAGTTTTTCTATTTACGTTTTTCTAGAATTTCTATCAATAGGAACGGTTCAGTTTCCTTTGGTTGAGTATTCGAAGTTTGCAAATTTGTAGCGGCTGCAGCTGATGGCTGAGAGCTTTCTCAGAGGCTCTCTCTATTTGAGTCAGAATGGTGATACGGGTTCAACCATATGGCGCCGCAAGGCATTTCCCTTTCGAATAAAGACTGCCACAGCTGAACTTGAACAATTAGGTATAAACATTCCCTCAATGACTCTGTCATATAATTCTCCGAGTCGGATTCCGACCTATGTTGACTCCATGCAAGGCGATACTCCGGCTTACTCTGTCTACCCTAAGTCAAGCCACTTCCCGAGAAACGAGAAGTCAGCTGGAATCCATGTAGACGAGTCCGAGCCAGTAGCAGTTGTTCTATGTTTAGAATAGAAACTTAATGTTATGGATAGTGATACGAGGTGCATCAATTCTATAGCATTGGCCGTTAATGGCCCACACCAAGGCTAGACGCCACGTTACCGGTGTTCGATCTGTGGATGATTTATTCTTCAAATGGCTTTCAAATCCGGTTAGGCTTGATTGTTCTACTTGACTCAACACTGTTCTCTAGACCTTCGTTTTCTTAAGAGACGAAAGACACTTGCAAAACTTACACAATGATTGAAAACACCACTATTACTCCTTCCGAATCACGCTCATCAAGCCCCAGCCATGCCAAAGTCGACATGGACGCCGAAATACCTGACGATTTTATTCTTTTCAGCCATGAGCTTCCCAATGGCGAAGTCCAAGACCTGATACGGAGGTTGCATAGATATGCCATGCTACCGGGCTATCCGCACCTTGCTCGCTTCTTGCAGGACTGTGCCTTGGTTCTTAGAACGGAGGTTCAGAAGCTACCACGGCCATTAAGAGATTCTGTACCACCATTCCACGATGTGGTTACGCTGTCCTCGCACTGGGATGAGATCAAGAGCAGCCCCCTAAGTGGTGCTTGGGACGGTGCCTTCCTCTGCATCTATGAGATAGCTATGCTAATAGGGTGAGTCGCTATTCTCTGTTTCCCAACTACTGCTACTGTTTATCCGGTAGTAAACGCGTGACATATTTTTGAGCTAACATGCCACTTGAAATACATACAGACATTATGAGACACATCAAATTTCATACCACCGTCCGGCATGCTTGGTAGGAATAAGCGTTGGCTTATTTTCAGCAGCAGCAGTGGCCGTTTCGGAGTCCCTATCTGACCTCGTCTCATACGGCACTGAAAGCGTGCGGACCGCTTTTGCATTTTGCGTTCATGTACAGCGCGTTTCTCAGACACTTGAGACTACCGTGACAGAGCAAGCTACGTCAGCTAGCTGGGCTACGGTCGTGATAGGTGTACCGGCAGACACAATCCGGGAAGAACTTGACCGGTTCAATCACCTAGAGGAGTCGGAAAGTATTGGTACAAATGTAATGCCGCTGACTGGCGTGAGTATTAGTCACGTTGATAATACCTCCGTTGGAATCACAGGTCCTCCCACCCGTCTCAAGCAACTCTTCCGCCAGTCAGAGATCCTTCGTTCTTCAAGGCACTCGGCGTTGCCCATCGCAGGAGGCCTCTGTCATGTTCCAAACGTGTACGATGACGACGATGTGCGCGCCATCCTTGAAACGGCGGAGGTCTGGGAGAGATGGGGCACTCGTTCTATGCTAGTGCCATTGGTATCCCCATTCACGGGCTCACCATTTTTCTGTTCAGATGCATACCACTTGATAGAAACCATCTGCACCGAGGCTTTAACCAAGCCCCTGTATTTCGACAAGGTCGGAAGTGGCGTTGTGACTCAACTTTCTCGCGACCCACGACCGAATGGGCTATCATGTCAGATATTTCATTACAGTGCATCCCTCATGTCAGATACCATCATCGCCAACGTTACCAATAAACTCTCAACTGTTGATGTGAGCCGCCGGTGTTTGGTTGACTGGGCTATGCGCGACATATTTGATCAACTCCATCATAGCCCACGGCCACCGCAAAACTCAAAGCTAGCTGTCGTTGGCATGTCCTGTCGTATGCCGGGAGGTGCAGATACCCCTGAGCGATTCTGGGAGCTGCTCGTTAACGGAGTGGATACGCACACTACTGTACCTCCAGACAGGTTTGATCTAGATGCTCATTTCGATCCTACCGGTGAAAAGGACAATACAGTTGGAACCCGATTTGGTAACTTCATAGACCACCCAGGCTATTTTGACGCAGGATTCTTCAATATGTCCCCACGCGAGGTAAGATAGTAACCTGAACCTGTTAATCGTTCCTGTATCTAATAATCTAACTACGCACACAACTCTTCAAACAGGCCGAGCAGACAGACCCGATGCAACGCTTGGCACTTGTGACAGCATACGAGGCGCTCGAGATGGCCGGCTTCGTCCCTAACCGCACGCCGTCCTCTCACTTATCACGGGTTGGCACGTATTATGGCCAGGCTAGCGACGACTACCGCGAGGTCAACGCAGGCCAGAAGATTGGCACGTACGGCATTCCTGGGACGGAAAGAGGTTTTGGTAACGGCCGCATCAATTATTTCTTCAATTTCCAAGGGCCGAGTTTCAACATTGACACTGCATGCTCCAGCGGATTAGCTGCGGTTCAGGCTGCTTGTTCGGCGCTGTGGGCTGGCGAGGCTGATACCGTAGTGGCTGGAGGCCTGAACGTCATTGTAAGTGGCCAGAGTTGATCCTCTCCAAATAGACGGACGATGAGATTTCCCACAGTACTAACGTGAAAACTCTTTCAAGACGAGTCCAGATATCTACTGCATGCTGAGCAAGGGGCACTTCTTGTCAAAGACTGGTCAGTGTAAGGTGTGGGATATTGGAGCCGACGGCTACTGCCGTGCAGATGGTGTCGGCTCGGTCGTGATTAAACGACTCGACGATGCCTTGGCTGATAACGACGTCATTTTGGCATCTATCGTAGCTGGTGCTACAAATCATTCAGCAGAAAGTATTTCCATTACTCAACCACATGCCGCAGCCCAGAGAGAGAATTATCGCCAGGTGATGGACAAGGCGGGTGTTAGTCCTCTAGACGTTAGCTTTGTCGAACTTCACGGCACAGGAACCCAGGTTTGTCTGCCCCCACTATGTCAATGGGATGGCCTTCCCTGAAACATGAAGCTGACCCTGGCGTCTCGTTATAAATTTAGGTCGGGGATGCCGTTGAGTCCGAGTCGGTACTTGACTTCTTCGCACCTTCTGGTCGGCGGTTACACCCCGACAAGCGCCTTCATCTGGGCGCCGTCAAGTCTAATATTGGGCATGGCGAAGCTGCTGCGGGTATTGCCTCCCTGATCAAGGTTCTGTTGATGTACCGCAACAATATGATCCCCCGTCACATTGGCATCCAAACGGCCATGAACCCTGTCGTGGCTCAAAACCTTGCCAACCGCAACGCCGGGATACTCACCGAGAATCACCCATGGCTTCCAACTGCGGCCTTTAAGAAGCGATACTCTATCGTGAATAGCTTTGGTGCCCATGGCGGCAATACAACGCTACTACTCGAGGATGCCCCATTGCAACATATTGACATAGACCAGGATCATTCGCGACAAGCTGTTGCTAGCAGCGAAGTGGTCTGCATCTCAGCCAAAAGCAAAGCTTCACTTCGGGCCAACATCAGGGCTTTGCTCGGCTATCTGAATACCCATAAAGTGACGGAACTCAGAGATATTGCCTATACAACGAGTGCTCGGCGGATACACCATCATATCCGCATTGCCACCTCTGCTTCTACCATATCACAGCTACAGTCCTTTCTGGAGGCTGCCGCCAATGATGTCGATGCGCATGCAAAGCATGTCGCTACAGCCACTAAAAGGACTATCGTATTTGCTTTCTCCGGTCAGGGCTGTCTCTATCACGGCGCTGCAGCGCAGCTGTTCGAAAAAGCACCTTTGTTCCGCGACCAGGTGCTCCAACTCGATCGGATCGTTAGACGCCTAGGTTTCCCCACGATACTAGCCACCGTCGCCGGCGATGCAGCGAGTATCGGCTCCGCCAGATCTTCACAAATGGAACCTACCCCAGGCAGCGAGGCAAGCCATGACGTTGTGGCCTTGAGCGATAGCAACACAAGTACAACCTCTCCGACACAGTCAGTCGAGAGTCCACTAGTTACTCAGCTCGCCCTGGTAGTTATCCAGATTGCCTTGGTGCAGTATTGGGGACTACTTGGTATCAAGCCCAGCGTAGTTATCGGCCACAGCCTCGGAGAATACGCTGCGCTGGTCGCAGCTGGAGTCTTGTCTGTCGCAGACGCTCTATTCTTGGTGGGTAAACGAGCTGAACTCATGTTAGCCGTCTGCGAGCCTGGGAGCCATGCTATGTTGTCAGTTCGCGGTGCCTCGGTCGATCGCATAGAAGAATTGTGCCGTGAGAGTGAGAAACAGTATCGTTTTGAAGTATCATGTGTGAACGGGTTGACCGACATTGTTGTTAGCGGCCTGCGAGATGATATGGCTTCCCTGCGTGACATGCTGCAGGGTGCAGGACTGAAATGTGTTCTCCTCGATATACCGTTCGCTTTCCACAGCGAACAAATGTCACCCATCCTAGATGACTTCGAGAATGCGGCTCAGTATGTTACATTCAAGGCCCCTGCGATCCCAATTATCTCTCCACTTCTTGGACAGTGCCTTGCCGAGGACCACGTTATTGATGGGAAGTATCTGGCCCGTGCGACACGGGAACCTGTTGATTTTGTAGCTGCTCTTCACGCTGCTATATCAGATGGCGTGGTAAATGACAAGACCGTCTGGATCGATATTGGGCCTCACCCAGTTTGTACCACCTTCGCAAGCAATCATTATGGAAAGGGAGCAACACAGACTTTTGCGTCACTTCGCCGTGGTGACGATACGCTGTCGACATTTACAGGAAGTCTTGCAGCACTACACTGCCTAGGGTTCCCTGTTGCATGGAATGAGTATTTTGATCTCAGAGAGAATCCCGCCCGTCTACTGCACCTCGACTCCTATCAATGGAACTACAAAAACTACTGGATCCCATACGAGGGTTCGTGGACGCTAGACAAAGCCAATGCTGGACAAAGCAACAAGAATAACAGTCCAGTCGCTGTTTCGGCTTTCTTCACGTCTTCTGTCCAACAAATCATTTCTGAGGAATATGGCGAGTCTATAGGACAGATGAAGGCACTCTCCAACTTGCATCACCCCGACCTCCGGGGCGCAGCAGAGGGGCATAAGTTAAACGGGAGGAGTGTTGTGACTGGAGTATGTCATCCCACCCTCTGACTTTCTGATTATAATATTGTTTCCTTTTCTGGATTCAATTTCTAACTGCATCTTGCACAGAGTATTTGGGCGGATATCACTCTCACCGTTGGTGAATATTTATACAGGAAAATGCTACCAGACGACGGTACACCTCACATGGACGTCAAAAACATGGAAGTAAACGAAGCCCAGGTGCTTGACCCACGGGCATCCCAATTCATTCAAATCGAAGGAGTATTGAACATGTCGCAAAAGCAGACGGCTGTACGACTGTACGCAGCAAGCCCAGACGGGACTCGTAATACAGAGAAGGCATTCGCCACTGCAACTGTCTGCTACGAACACGCGCAAGCCTGGCAAGAACAATGGCAGGTGACTTCACACTTAGTTGCTGCAAGAGCCAATTCGCTTTGGGAAAAGATTACAGGCGGCGGCGACAACAGCGCAGACAAAAGCAAGGTGAGCCACTTTTCACAGAGTGTCGCGTATCAACTCTTTGCAAACGTGGTGGACTATGGCACACGATATCGTGGGATGCAGCGCGTAGCACTCTCCGAGGACACTCTGGAAGCAACGGCTGACGTCGTCCTGGACAATGACCAACATGGCACTTGGCACACTCCACCTCACTGGATCGACAGCGCTTTCCAGCTTGCCGGCTTCGTCATGAATTCCTTTGGTGTTCAAAGCGATGGCAAGATCGCTGGATCATCTCGTGATTTCTTTTACATCACCCCGGGGTGGCGTCACTTCCGGCTGCTGGAACGCCTTGAGCCTGGCCCTGGTGTCACGTATCGCAATTTTGTCCGGATGTTTCCGGTCGTCGGTGAACCAGGCGCATATGCAGGAGATATATATCTGCACCGTGGTGACAAGCTCGTGGGCGTGTGTGCAGGTGTTAAGTTCAAAGCTGTTCCTCGCGCTTTGATGCCGGTGTTGTTTCCTCCGATTGGGGCTAGCAAGAAGCGAAACCAATCTGCCGAGACTCATTCCGCCACATACCAAAGCAACGGCGAGTACTACAAATCTCAGCCAGTCCCGGCCCCCATTTTCCAAAAGCCTGAGAAGTTGACGGCACCTATCTCTAGAGTAGCTCACTCGCAACACCAAGGTCAGGTTGGCATCTCACGAAACACACAAACCCCAGCGCCGGCAGCAGTAGTCATGCAGCAAGTCCAGCCTGTAGAGGGTGGACAAGATCAAAGCCAAAATCCACAAGCAACAGCGTGCCTCGCGCTGATTTCGGAGGAAACCGGGCTGGATCTGGACGATTTGAAAGGCGATGCCGCCTTTGCTGAGTTGGGTGTGGATTCTCTAATGTCCCTGGCACTGTCGGCTAAGATACGCGCAGAGCTAGGTATTGATGTTCAGGCGTCCATTTTTCTGCAATGTCCGACTGTACAAGATCTGGTTAGATGGTTGAGCAAGTAAATAGAAGCTTATTAGTGTTGTATGAGAAATTGAAAATCCACTTTCAGCTCAAAGAGCCAATGGAATAACACTCTTTACACCGTGGGGAAAGTCTGTAATACAATCAAGGCTAGATATGCTTTCAATGGAAATTACCAATAGATTGAATTTAAGTATTAGAAAAATTGGCCATGGTGCAATCCAACAACCCATAACACACGTGTATTATATATTCATTGATTGTCCATGCAACCTAGCTCTAGACTCAAATTATATATAGTCCGATGGTACCTGCTAAAGCCTACGGCGGACTAGCGAATCTAACTTACGTCCAACCGACAATTCTTTAACGGTGTTTCACCTTAAGCCACAGCTGCCACGCACTCGTAGCCTTTATTAGTTAGTTCTTATTCTTATCTATATCGTACAGTAGTGGCCGAGTAGGGCCTTAAAATACGCTAGTATATAATAGAATGGGATGACTAATTACTAAGTAGTAGTAGTAGTCGTGGTGTAAATATCCAGACTTGGCTCTAAATCTAGAGGTTGCGATGCCTCAAGTTCGTGGGGTGGGAGTTCTAAATTTAGCGGTCATAGTGCCTGGACATAGAACCAACCCTTTGATTTTGAGAAGCGGTAAAATACCGCAGGACTAAATTATGTAAAGCGGTGCAGAGCTTCGTCTCAAGTATTACCTATCATTAGCAGATGATATAGTGGTACCTCATAAAGAGATTTAATTACCTATATAATAGTGCGATGCCGTTGGCTTGTCGCAGGAATGCGCGAGGGCCTAGGCGAAGAGAAGCAATATATAATTAATATCTTAGAAAAACCACTAGGGCGGGGTTTAGCCTAAGTGCTGTGGGTTTAGAGGGATTAACCAAGAGAAAAGCCTCTACGGTAAGACCTTGGCAGGGCTGTCCGGTTATGTAACTCGGGATAATCAGCCAATATCCTACAGCTTGATAGTAATCGATCGGAATGTCTTTATACACCCTTCCGGGCGGAGAACGGTCACTATTGTGTTTGACTCGGAGTGGTCTGAGGGCTGGAGTTAGCGAGCGTTGCGTGGATTTTATTTCGAGTCCTAGGTTAATAGGGCAAAAGAAGGACAGACGGTTTTTCACGCTATGCCAGTAGTACCACAGCTGATCGCGTTGAATCCCTCACTTTGACACTTGTATCTTGAAAACGAGAGATCAACACCTGCAATGCCCCAAAGTATACGTCTAGCAAGCTGGTTGGAGCCTTGGAGGGCCTACGATGCTAAGCAGATGCGACTGAGACGTCCTCACTGGAAGATGCAAAGAATAAGCTGAACTACGATCGACATTCATCTACTCTATGACCCCCTCAAAGTCTATCCCGATGATCCTGTTTCTCAACACTCACCGTGACATCCACCGTCCTAAGCACACCCCCCTTCCCCTCCATATCGTGGGTCAAATGCCTAGTACTTTCTGCCCCCTCACTCGAACTTGACTGTCTATCGCCCTCACCGTGACCCAGATCCCCACCTGTTGTAACCTCCGTGGTAACCAGCACATCCGTATTCCGCTCATGGAACATCGACCGCCCATTCTTCCTCGAGCGTCCGCGCGACCGAGACCGCGAGTGTGACTGACTTGCCCCAGAGGAAGACTGGTGCATATACCCGCTTGCCTTGGTCTGCGGAAGTTCGAGGCCGATGCCATCGGGGATTTGGGTCGTGGTTAGGCCCGAGTGCAGGCCGGCGAAAATGTGGTAGAGGGTTGGGACACAGGCGATTATCACGGTGGTGAGCATCATGGTCTGGGCGATTATTTCCCAGTTCACAATGTCCCCTAGATAGATACTTGTTAGATTTCCTTTCGCGGTATATTTGAAATTGGAACGGAGCCTCACGGACAGGATACGTCGGTTGAGTGGCGGAAGGAGGGGAGGAGGGTGAGGTCGACAATTCCGAGTCCCACGATACTGTGAGGATTAGTTGCATTGGCGGTTTAAATTGGTGCTAAATTGTTCGAGTTAACTGAGTCGTACCTTAAACGCGCGGAGAAGGAGCACAGGATCTTCACTCGCTTGTGCCAGGCCATCTGGACGTTGCGCATCATGATGAAGGGTAGGACGACGATGATGACCTCCGTGAGGATGTTGAGGACCGCCATCGGGTAGAATATGGCACCCTGTTGCCAGACTAAGTAGGCTGTCAAGACAATTACGGACGAGCTTTTGGTATATATATACTGACCTCCCCAGCACATCGCCCGGGCGAGTACAACCATGGACCAGACATCTCACATTGGAATGCTATCCCCAACACCGCGAAGATCGACCACCCCATGACGATCCCAGCGGTACCAGCACAGATACGACGTAGGCTCTTGGTCGGCGTTAACCTCCAAATCAGCAGAATAGTCGACATCTTCGAAAGCGACATGACAACGATCCGCAGAATATGCGCAGCATATGCGAATTTGCTCCAGGCCTGGATATCGCCATCGCCAAGTCCGTCTTGGTGCTTTCCCAATCCATGGTCCACAGCCTTCTGTAAAAGAACAACTTGAATGATGGCAAGAATCAAAGCCACCCAAATGGGAGTATTGACAGCGGTCCGTCGCTGCTTGAAGTAGATCGCAGACCCGAACTTGGCGGCCACGAAGATAATGGCCACGATCAAGAGGGAGACTGAGGTCAAGGTGATGCTTGCACCGCGATTATCACTTGACAGGACCTGGAAGGCGTCCTTTTGGTCAGCCATCGCGCCATGAGATGCTCTTCAAGTTGGAGACCTACTCGGAGAGAAGGGGTGCCGACATATAATCAAATCTGATTTTTTCCATCCTGGTCACTAAAGCTTCTTCTATTGGGAATTTACGACCCTGCCTATTGGCGTGGCACCATCGCATCTCATTTGTGCAAGGAATCCAATGTGCCAGTTGACTGCATCGGCTAAATCAGAAATACGAAGCGTGTCAGGCCAGATTTTTCCGACAATAGCATTGTCCCAGTGGTCTAGAATCATGGAGGGCGGAAGCAAAGGCCACTAGAAAGGAACCGGTGCCCCACTAGACAAGGGCCGTGCCATTGAATTTGTTCCGATCCTGATGTCCGGATAGTTCAGATCAAGCACTAACTGCCACCGGCCTGACGACTAAATATGCGAACGACAAGGGTGTGCGCCGAAGCGACCAGACCGTTTGAACGCCGCGCACTAAGGCGCAGCCCGAGCTCATAACCATTCGTTTCGCATTCATTGTGCAATCAATATCCCTGTCTAGCCCCAAGAATGGAAATGAGAAGGCAAAGAGAGTCGAAAGTCCTTTTTTGCCGTCGACTCGGCCAGGAGACTGGCCTATTTCCTGTCGGCCTTTCTTCTCCCACCTTTTGTCTCTGTGTCCTACGTAGGCAAAAGAAGAGATTCTTCGTACTCCAAAATGCAGGAAGAGATAGAAATGAAGAGCGAAAGCCTTGTGCGATCAGGACTAGTAGGAAGTGGAAATGGGGGCTATGAGAGCGCTACAATGCGCCAGAAACAACAATTGGAGGTACAATCACACGGCCCAACTGTTCTGCACTGACTCTAATAACTTCACAGCGATATCTTAACTTCTTCTCCTCCGTCGCCTTTTCCGCCTGTCTACTTGCGACATGGGAATCTGCTGGTGGCAGTTTGCAATCAGGGTTGTACAACGGCGGCCCTGCAGCGATTGTCTATGGGATCATCTTGAGTACCCTCGGAAATCTGGCTATCGCATGCTCTCTGGCAGAGCTTGCGTCTCTGTATGTGCATGGGCCACTTCCCAATAGAATGGTGCTGACCTTGATCTTGACAGGCACCCCACTGCCGGTGCTCAATATCACTGGAGTTACTTCCTTGCGCCTCGCGGTCGCCGATTTATTAGTTTCTTCCAAGGTGAGCTTAAGGTTGCGTTAATTCTTTCTTTATGCCAATTGCTGATGACATCCAGGTTGGGTCACCGTCTTCTCATGGTCCGCTCTTGTCTGCATCGCTCCGTATTTTATCGGAACCCAAATCCAGGGCCTGGTGGTGCTGGCGCATCCTGACTATGAACTGGTCCGATGGCGCGGGACGCTGCTCATGTGGGCCGTTGCGATCATCCCGATTATTATCAATATCTTCGGGCGTCGCGTCCTGGGAGGAATTGAAGTCGCTGCGGGTATCATGCACGTTGTCTTCTTGCCCGTCACCATTGCAGTCTTCGTGATTCTCGCTCCGCGAAACCCGGACTCGTTTGTATGGGACACCTTTGTCGGCGGCCTAAGTGGTTGGAAAGACTCGGGTGCTGTATTCTCCATCGGTCTTCTTGGTGTCATTACTCCCTTAGCCGGTAGGAGCCTCCCTATCTTCTTCTTCACATCTAGCCATACCAATAGTCTAATCCATGTCAACAGGCGTCGATGGTGTAATCCACATGGCCGAAGAAGTCAAAAACGCCAAGGTTGTCGTCCCTCGCTCTATGATCTATGGCACCATGATCAATGGAACCCTTGCCTTCGCCTACCTTATCGCCATCCTCTACTGCATGGGCGACTACACTGAAGCCGTCCTCAGCCCCACGGGCTACCCCATCATCACAATCGCCTACCAAGCCACCGGCTCTAAAGCAGCAACGTACGTGCTGATGGCGATGGGCATGCTCCCCGGCTGGATCGCCCTCTTCAACGGTCTCGCCTCCGTAACCCGCCTGACCTGGGCATTCGCGCGCGATAACGGTCTCCCCTTCTCCAACTTCTTCGCGCGCGTCGACCCAACCTACAAGATCCCCCTCCGTGCTCTCTTCCTCGTCGCCTCATGTATCTTCGCTCTCTCCTTCATCCAAATCGGCTCCACCGCGGCATTCAATGCTATCCTCTCTCTCAGCACACTGGGCCTCTACATCTCCTACCTTATCCCCCTCGTCCTACTCGTGTTCAAGCGGCTCACCGCGCCACAAGATATCCCCCAAGGCACCTTTACACTGGGCAAGTGGGGTCTCCCCATGAATCTGCTGGCCATTCTGTTCGCTACATATTTTGCGATCTTCTTACCGTTTCCGGCCACATTGCCGGTGACAGCGGAAAATATGAATTATGCGGGGCCGGTGCTGGGCTTTGTGATGTTGTTTGCTTGTGGGGATTGGATTGTAAGGGGACGGCATAAGTGGGAGGGACCGACTATGCGGCCTTATGCGAGAGATGAGTAGATTATGGGCATGGAGAGTTGATGTGGAAAAGTGGGTAGGAGGATTGAGATACTGTATATAATATTGTTGGAGGCTTTCATTGCCTCAGGGAGGAGGAGCACGGAGACCAACCAGGGCAGGAGGGCGAAAAATGAATTTATCCCGTCAGTAGCTAGTACACTGTGTGATAGGCGCCTGCTATGTAAGTCGATTCGTATTTGCCTAATCTACCTTTTTTCCTTCTTTATAGCATCTAGACTTGTTCAATCATGGGTTGGGCCGGGATTTTTCATCTTAGTCAATGTTCACCTTCTTACCCCAACTCACCTTAATAGGCGGCGATGTTCTCACCAAACTCTCACTCATCGCTCTTATACTCTCCCTGGATTTAGCATATACCCAATGAATAATTGGGAAATACAAAAAAACAAAAACATACAACAGGAGGGATTCGCTGGTGGTCACCCACCCAACTACTAACCTCCCGGCGTGTGGCTTAAGTACGGCTGAGCGGACGGGAAGCCCTGTTCTCCACACCCTATGGTCGTATGTGTTGGTTGAATAGATGCAGAGGACTATATAGTAATAAACCAAAGGCGAAGTGAAAAGGCTTGTTTCTTCTATACTCATAGGAGTGGCTCATCGTCCGATTGATTGCCCCGTTAAGTGAATATCCTGGATAGGATCGATCTACTCTGTATATAACTATGGTATCGAACTCCCTATGTTTGTTCTTAGAACAAAAGCCAAGGGAATCACCAGGCAATGTCCTACTTTAGTTCACCAAGCACAAGGCCACGAAGGATCATGAGCATTTATCCATACTCCAATGATTGACATTTCAATACTGTACTGTTCGTTTAGGTCAACATGTTCCCCTACTCGCTGCTTTGATAGCACCATTGTGCACAGAATACTGACGAGCCAAATTAGTAACTATTTGTACGAGATCGGAATTATGCAGCCACAACTCGCCATAGCCCGATCGTAAAAGCCCGCGAGATTTCAATCAATCGTCTGATTCTATTGGACATGTTCAGTACTAGTATGCTGTCTGTGAAATAGAGGGTGAAGCACCAAAGGATAAAGAATTCCTATATTCTTAGACAAAGTATTGCCGCTGGCATCACGTCCACAAAAGTACCCGACCCTTCACATACTCGCCAAATCGGGCATACCTCGACGACCAATTTCCTTGCGCTTTTTCAAAACAGACTCATCCAAACCATTTTGAATGGCCGTGACCATCACTTCCACATCGAAATCCGTCCCGATGGGATTCTCGGCAAATTCGGCCGCCGTCATAAATTTGATCGCATCCTCCACCGTGTCATAGTTGTCAATCTGCGTTTCAAGCATGTTCCATCTGGGTCTCTGTAGTAAATACTAGTTGTCGGACCATGATTGACGCACCTAAAAGGGACCTTAAATGGGGTGAATAAGGGGAGCCTGGAAGCCCGCCTAACAGCGAAAGTGATCCCCACAATAGCCTGACAATGGATCAGCAGCTTTATGGAGGAACGGACAGCCTGTATTGGATTCGATGACTTTGAGACATCAATGGCACCTTTACGGAATGTTGGACTAGCGCAAGGATCCCCTCTGTCACCGATCCTCTTTGTATTCTTCAACTCCGATTTCGTGGACTAACCAGTCGGCTTCCACAGAGGCGCGTCTGCTTTCATCGACGATTACTTCCGATAGAGGGCAGGTCGATCAACAGAAGGAAACCTAAGAAAAGCCCAGAAAGAAGATATTCCCCGGATCAAAGCATGGCCCCGCCAGACTGGATCCTGCTTTCCCACGGAGAAAACGGAGCTCATCCACATCACGAGAAAGAAGAGCGAGAAAGCAAAAGACCAAATTACTATACAAGGCAGAACTATCAAGCCCTCGAACACGGTAAAACTCCTCGGGGTAGTGTTCAACTGTGAACTCACGTGGAAAGAAGAGAAACTAAGGAGCGCTCAGGGCGTATAGAAGCCTATCCATTCGTTTCAATCGTTCCCCTCAATTTTATGATCGCTCATCTTGGATATACTCACCATTGAAATGTATAAATTCTAGTCAAGGTCCCAAGATGGCAACACATCATATTCTGTCATATCTCGAAACTTCATCCGCGGGCAGTCCACTCACGTTCAGTCCTTAGCTCAGTCACCTGCAGCTGGGAATAAATGGGATGCTGGTGTTCGCAGCCCCTGCTAGCTAGAACCTCACCGGCAGCCATACACATTGTGCTGCCTAGTCTGACATGTAATCCCAGGCACCGACACTCTCCTGCTACGAGGTTATTAATCAGTAGATTATAAATCATGACTGATCGACTCCTAGTAATCTCACAACGATGACGCAAAACCGGCCAATGACAGTACAGTAATCATGTGCCATTCAGGGTATGGAGCCCGCGGAGTCCGAAAATGGTGGACATTGCTAGATGTTGAAAGTATGACGGAAAAATGCTGCGTTCGGTAGCCTTAACTGAGATCATGTATCTGATGGAAAGCTTTGATTTATAAGTTTTGATTTGTAAGTTTTGAGGTCCGTGTGAAAGGACGCATATAATTACCTCCACATGCCCGCTTTCCCTTTGAACTCCTTTACTTCTGCACACACAGCGGCTCTTTGCTTGTTAAAACAAAGTCTTTCAAAATGCGCGTTGCTGTGGCTGGCTCTGGTGCAATGGCCAGATATATTTGCGATGAGTTTCCGAAGTATGGACACGAAGTGGTCCTACTCAGCCGTACAAACAAAGAAGTCTTCCAGAATTGGAACCGGGTTACTCAGGTGGTAACTGATTATTCGGTTTCTTCACTAACCGACGCCATACTGGACTGCGACGTGCTTATCTCTATGATTCTATCGTACACCGAAGAGTTTATCGACGTCCACCTCAACCTTATCAAAGCTTGTCAGGCCAGTCCACGATGCAAACGATTCATTCCCTCGGAATATGGGGGTGACCTTGAGAGATATCCTGATGTTCCTCTCTTTTATTATCTGACTCGAGATCCTATTCGAAAGGCTCTGCAGGATCAAAAGGAGATCGAATGGACGCTAGTCAGTGTTGGATGGCTGGTGGATTACGTTGTACCTCAACAAAATCGATACCTTACGGATGCCGGGGAAGCGTTTCCCATTGATATCACATCCAAAAAGATTACCATTCCCGGCACTGGGAATGATCCAGTGGACGTTACTGCAGCCCGCGACTTGGCAAGAGCCCTAGCTCTTCTCATCAGCAAGTCCTCATGGGAACCATATACTTACATTTCCGGCGAGAAAACCACATGGAATGAGCTTGCTAAGTTGGTGCAACAACAGTACGAGGAAATGAAGGATATCCAGCATATTGGCTTAGGCCAGATACTACATACGATTCAGTCATCAAATAATGAGGTGGATGTCTTAATGTCTCATTACAAACTCATTGTTCCTCTACGAGCCTGTTCCCTGGACCCCAAGAAGGTCGAGGCTCATCGGCAGAAATTCTTCTCTGGAATGACTTTCAGGAAGCCCCATGAGCTTATCGAAGAAGCGCGTCAGGATCCCAACAGAATTGTCTAATAGACGGCGTGGAGAAGTAGGAGAGCAATAATGTGGTCGATAGCTGTGGTTGCGCAACAGCGAATCCCCAAGCACCCAACAAATAGTTTAAATACAAATGAGAACTTTTCTATTTTCACTCTTCTTTAAAGTGGGCATTACTTCGTCTAGATATTGTCCGCCTTGGGGTTTCCAGGATGATCAGTTCAAATATCATTAATTATTTGCGCAATTCGCAAATGAATCAGTTACATTGATTTTTGTACAAATAATAAAGTAAATATGTTTGATATAGCCTACCCAAAGCTGGACACAACTTGATACAAGCTTTTCTGGGCTGCAATGTCTACAAATACATTATTAGAAGTGGCGAAGAAAAGTGAAATTTTAATACCATGTTTATTTAATACTAGTGAGTGCTGCAGATTAGAGTACAATATCGAGTCAGAGAAAGAAGCGCAGAAATAATCAGATAATCGCCTTTGTGTGTGCAAATAGATATGTATCGAGTGCATAACTGGACAGTGTGTACTTACGTAGCCCTCCGGCTATTCCACCAGTGTATAATGGAAGACGTGATATGTGGCATCTTGATGGCTAGGCCTTATTGCGGCTCCTAATGGGTCCACTACTGCTGTTTATACATGATCATGACTGGAAGTAAAGTGCGCAAGGTCGCGAATTTGCTATTGGGCAAATACATAGCATCCTGTGAAAATTCTGATTTTATAAGAAAAGGTGGGAAATAGTAATTTTGCACGCTTTTGGAGTGGCTGTTGGAGTCCCAGCTTGGTGAGGAATTTTGTTGCATCCTATACCTAAAGCATCGAGATCACGCGCGAGAGATATGCACTCGAAGGGCTTGTTTCGCCTCCTGTATTCGCCTGAGTTAACTGTGGCAGGAGTTTGGCGACAAAACTCATCCGGGAATAGTAATGGAGATTCAATTTTTGGTCCAGTCCTTCGTCCATTTTTACCATGACTTCTGTTATAATCTGACCGGATACCGGTGTCACCGGTTATACTCCTTTAATTTTCCAACAACCCTAAGGTGAAACAAAGCTAAATTGAATTGAAAATAGAAGGAAACAATAATTTTTCTAAGCTTTAACAATTCACTGTAATAACAATTAATATTACTCCACAAGTATATATGCTGACAATTTAGGCATTTGTCCCTTGGCATAGAAACATCCCGAATTATGGATAAGAAATACCGTACTTGATCACCTGACGCACGTCCCCACCTGCCGCACGGATTTCTATATACACCGACTTTTTGACTTCAACTTCAAACCATCACAACTCCGTCAATATGGGTTCAATTGATGAGGCGCTTGCTTTTTTAAAATCCCTAGATCCAGGAGAATCATTTAAATATGCGGAAGTAGCCAAAAGATTCGGTGTTGATTGTACAACACTCTCAAGGCGCCACCGGGGTGTTATGCATTCAAAAGAGAATCAATATGAAAACCAGCGATTACTCAACAGCCAGCAAGCCAAAACTCTTATAAGTTATATTAATAAACTCTCTGAGAGAGGCCTATATCCTACCTCTGAGATGCTT